AGAAATAACAGTTGTACTACAAGCAGAATTGACTAGTGTTCCACAAGCAGAAATGACAGGTGTCCCACAAGCAGAAATGACAGTGTTCCACAAGCAGAAATGACAGGTGTCCCACAAGCAGAAATGACTTGTGTCCCACAAGCAAAATTGACAGGTGTCCCACAAGCAGAAAGACATGTGTCACACAAGCAAAAATGACATGTGTCACATGAGAAGAAATAGCAGATGTACTACAAGCAGAAATGACATGTGTCCCACAAGCAAAAATGACAGTGTTCCACTAGCAGAAATGACATGTGTCCAATAAGCAGAAATGACAGTTTTCCACTAGCAGAAATGACACGTGACCCATAAGCAGAAATGACATGTGTCCTACAACCAGAAACACAATAACAAAACTAAAAAAAAATATTAAGTGACTGATGGTAACTTATTAAAGATCAACAATAGTAATTTTTTTAAATTTATTTTAATGTAACATATGCACGTTTCAAAGGATATTAATATACATTAAAAACTGCAAAAATCAAAATGTATTGAGATTCATGATGGAAAAACGTTTATGTATAGATACCTTAATGGTCCATCTCGTACACCCTAATGGTCCCTCTCACTCACCTTAATGGTTCATCACATACACCTTAATGGTCCATGTCATTCACCTTAATGGTGCATCTCAAACACACTAATGGTCCATTTCATACACCCTAATGGTCCATTTCAATGGTCGATCTCATACACCTTAATGTTCCATCTCATACACCTTAATGGTCTATCTCATACACCCTAATGGTTGATCTCATACACCCTAATGGTCCATCTCAAACACCCTAATGGTCCATTTCATACACACTAATGGTTCATTTCATACACCCTAATGATCCATGTCATTCACCTTTATGGTGCATCTCAAACACACTAATGGTCCATTTCATACACCCTAATGGTCCATTTCAATGGTCGATCTCATACACCTTAATGTTCCATCTCATACACCTTAATGGTCTATCTCATACACCCTAATGGTTGATCTCATACACCCTAATGGTCCATTTCATTCACCTTAATGGTTCATTTCATACACCTTAATGGTCCATTTAATTCACCTTAATGGTCCATCTCATACACCTTAATGGTCAATCTCATACACCTTAATGGTCTATCTCATACACCATAATGGTTGATCTCATACACCCTAATGGTCCATTTAATTCAACTTAATGGTCCATCTCATACACCTTAATGGTCCATCTCATACACCCTAATGGTCAATCTCATACACCTTAATGTTCCATCTTTTACACCCCAGTGGTCCATCCCATACACCTTAATGGTCAATCTCATACACCTTAAAGTTCCATCTTTTACACCCCAGTGGTCCATCTCATACACCTTAATGGTCCATCTCATACACCCGAATGGTCCATCTCATACACCCTAATGGTCCATCTCATACACCTTATGGTCCATCTCATACACCCTAATGGTCCATCTCATTCACCCTAATGGTCCATCTCATACACCCTAATGGTCGATCTCATACACCTTAATGGTCAATCTCATACACCTTAATGGTCCATCTCATACACCTTAATGGTCCATCTCATACACCCTAATGGTCCATTTCATTCACCTTAAAGTTTCTCCTCAAACACCCTAATGGTCCATTTCATACACCTTAATGACCAATCTCATACACCCTAATGGTCGATCTCATACACACTAATGGTCCATCTCATACACCCTAATGGTCCATCTCATACACCTTAAAGGTCCATATCTTACACCCTAATGGTCAATCTCATACGCCCTAATGGTCCATCTCATACACCCTAATGGTCCATCTCATACACCTTAAAGGTCCATATCATACACACTAATGGTCAATTTCAAACACCCTAACGGTCCATTTCATACACCCTAATGATCAATTTCAAACACCCTAATGGTCCATCTCATACACCCTAATGGTCCATTTCATACACCCTAATGATCCATCTCAAACACCCTAATGGTCCATTTCAAACACCCTAATGGTCTATTTCATAAACCTTAATGTTCCATCTCATACACCCTAATGGTCCATCTCATACGCCTTAATGGTCCATCTCATACGCCTTAACGGTCCATCTCATACACCTTAATGTTCCATCTTTTACACCCCAGTGGTCCATCTCATACACCTTAATGGTCCATCTCATACACCCGAATGGTCCATCTCATACACCCTAATGGTCCATCTCATACACCTTATGGTCCATCTCATACACCCTAATGGTCCATCTCATTCACCCTAATGGTCCATCTCATACACCCTAATGGTCGATCTCATACACCTTAATGGTCAATCTCATACACCTTAATGGTCCATCTCATACACCTTAATGGTCCATCTCATACACCCTAATGGTCCATTTCATTCACCTTAAAGTTTCTCCTCAAACACCCTAATGGTCCATTTCATACACCTTAATGGCCAATCTCATACACCCTAATGGTCGATCTCATACACACTAATGGTCCATCTCATACACCCTAATGGTCCATCTCATACACCTTAAAGGTCCATATCATACACCCTAATGGTCAATCTCATACGCCCTAATGGTCCATCTCATACACCCTAATGGTCCATCTCATACACCTTAAAGGTCCATATCATACACCCTAATGGTCAATTTCAAACACCCTAACGGTCCATTTCATACACTCTAATGATCAATTTCAAACACCCTAATGGTCCATCTCATACACCCTAATGGTCCATTTCATACACCCTAATGGTCGATCTCAAACACCCTAATGGTCCATTTCAAACACCCTAATGGTCTATTTCATACACCTTAATGTTCCATCTCATACACCCTAATGGTCCATCTTATACGCCTTAATGGTCCATCTCATACACCTTAATGGTCCATCTCATACGCCTTAATGGTCCATCTCATACGCCTTAATTGTCCATCTCATACACCCTAATGATCCATCTCATACGCCTTAATGGTCCATCTCATACACCCTAATGGTCCATCTCATACACCCTAATGGTCCATCTCATACGCCTTAATGGTCCATCTCATACACCTTAATGGTCCATCTCATACGCCTTAATGGTCCATCTCATACACCCTAATGATCGATTTCATACACCTTAATGGTCCATCTCATACACCTTAATGGTCCATCTCATACGCCTTAATGGTCCATCTCATACACCTTAATGGTCCAGCTCATACACCTTAATGATCGATCTCATACACCTTAATGGTCCATCTCATACACCTTAATGGTCCATCTCATACGCCTTAATGGTCCATCTCATACACCCTAATGGTCGACCTCATACACCTTAATGGTCCATCTCATACACCTTAATGGTCCATCTCATACGCCTTAATGATCCATCTCATACGCCTTAATGGTCCATCTCATACACCTTAATGGTCGATCTCATACACCTTAATGGTCCATCTCATACACCTTAATGGTCCATCTCATACGCCTTAATGGTCCATCTCATACACCCTAATGGTCGATCTCATACACCTTAATGATCCATCTCATACACCCTAATGGTCCATCTCATACACCTTAATGGTCCATCTCATACACCTTAATGGTCCATCTCATACTCCGTAATGGTCCATCTCATACGCCTTAATGGTCCATCTCATACACCCTAATGGTCCATCTCATACGCCTTAATGGTCCATCTCATACACCTTAATGGTCCATCTCATACGCCTTATACGTCCATCTCGTACGCCTTAATGGTCCATCTCTTACACCCTAAGTGTCCATCTCATACGCCTTAATGGTCCATCTCACACACCCTAATGATCCATTTCATTCACCTTAATCGTTCATCTCAAACACCCTAATGGTTCATCTCTATACCTTAATGGTCCATCTCATACACCCTAATGGTCCATCTCATACACCCTAATGGTCCATCTCATACACCCTAATGGTCCATCTCATACACCTTAATGGTCCATCTCATACGCCTTAATCGTCCATCTCAAACACCCTAATGATCCATCTCTATACCTTAATGTTCCATCTCATACGCCTTAATGGTCCATCTCATACACCTTAATGGTCCATCTCATACGCCTTAATCGTCCATCTCATACACCTTAATGGTCCATCTACTACACCCTAATAGTCCATCTCATACGCCTTAATGGTCCATCTACTACACCCTAATAGTCCATCTCATACGCCTTAATGGTCCATCTACTACACCCTAATGGTCCATCTCATACGCCTTTATGGTCCATCTACTACACCCTAATAGTCCATCTCACACATCCTAATGATCCATTTCATTCACCTTAATGGTTCATCTCAAACACCCTAATAGTTCATCTCACACTCACTAATGGTCTACCACACACACACACCAATAAATTAGTTATTCTCTCCTCTGGTCCATCTTGGTTATCCGACAGGACGAAGTTGTTCCAAAAGTTGACAATTTATGCCCATATAAGAACATGCACAATGTCCTGCACTACATTTGGAGACATATGTAAGCTTCTATATTTGTAGGTATTCAACACATCGGTACTACAACTTGTAGAAAACATTCAATTAGGCTAAAACACCATCCAAAGAACTGACATAAATGCAATTAATTAGGCGAAATTATGTAAGTGCACATAATAATAATCTCAAGCTCGTGTTAATGACATAAATAGTGGGCCCACCAAGTCTTAGTTGAAACAATGTCTTACCGCTAACGGAGGGATTCAACAATGACAAATAAGCATTGGATAACTGATTAATTGTGGGGTAAGCAATTTCACTCTTGCTATACGATCACAGAATGACTTTACTTGTGTATAGAATATGACCGTGGTCAATTACATATAGGAGCCACTAGTATAATTTTCTTTGTTCTGGACAACATCAAGAGCCTCAGTGGGAACAAAGGCAACGTTGATTTGCCCATGCCTTTCTTTTTGAGTGAACTGATAGCGTTTGGTTGTGCCACAGCATGAAAAAAGTAGTTCCGGGTCTTTGGTTGGTGGCGCGACGAATCGCCTGGTGCACAGCGTTACAAAAAGTCCAACAAGGAAACTCAAGACAATTCCAATGCAGCTGTACCACACGTAAGAGATGTCGTACAGGAAGAAGCCGAAGCTGTCCTTAGACCCGACTGACGCTTGTGGGGTTGTCATGGCAGCGATCGATGATGAAAATGTACTAGGCGTTGTTAAGTCCATTGAGATTGTTGAATGCGTCGAGTTTACGTTGCACATATCTGTGGGCGGCAGCGGCAGTGGTTTATATTTCCTCCCGTACATCTGATTGCCGATGACGATGTAGACATTGACCGCTAGTGCCACCACGCCACCGGTGATGGCGCCGAATTTGTTGGCGCTGGGGACGAGGGCCCCCAAGAGAAATATCCCGACGACGGGGCTGCCACACGCACCGGCTACGCCCATGACCATCTGTGTGACGGGCCCGTCCAGGAAACTGGCCGCGAAGGCCAGCGCGATGATGAGAAGCCCATAGACGGCCACAAAGATCTTGGTAATCAATGTGATGGTTCTTTCGATCTGCCCCCTCAAAAGCCTCTTCACGATGTCCTCCACGGTATTGGCAGCGAGAGAGTTAATCCCTGGGAGAAGAAAGAATCATTTTTAAAGTCGATGACGATTTATGCATTCATTTTAAAATATAGTGAGTTATAGTTTTTGTAGGATTGAGAGCCATTTTTTCCCCCACCTTCATTGTCCCACGTTGCACCATAATAAACGATTGGTACTGGAATATTTCAGACACTAAGTCAATCACCGTAAGGGCCAATAACAACATTATATTACTTGCCAGCTTTTTGGGGTACAATTTACGTGTTAGGCCCTTAGTTTGCAGTTTATTTAAAGTATTCACATATTCACATAGTATCGTGGCGAAATGTATCACGCATGATTTACTGCATTATACAAGGGGCTTGCTATACATATCTCATCTCTTGAACTTACTAGAACAGCGGTACTCAAACTGTCGGTCGCAACCCCTTTTGGGGTCGAATGACCCTTACACAGGGGTCGCGGGATTGCTCGTGTAAGTAGCCAAATCTTGAAACAGATTCAATTTATTAAACTGTACGTAACAGCGTGTTTTACAGTATTCCTATTAAATGGTACTATGTCACATGTATAACTTACCTGATGATATAGTACTATGACACATGTATAACTTACCTGATGATATAGTACCATGCCACATGTATGAGTTACCCGCTGATATAGTACCGTGCCACATGTATAACTTACCTGATGATATAGTACCATGCCACATGTATGAGTGACCTGATGATATAGTACCGTGCCAAATGTATAACTTACCTGATGATATAGTACCGTGTCACATGTATAACTTACCTGATGATATAGTACCATGCCACATGTATGAGTGACCTGATGATATAGTACCGTGCCACATGTATAACTTACCTGATGGTATAGTACCATGCCAAATGTATGAGTTACCTGATGGTATAGTACCATGCCAAATGTATGAGTTACCTGATGATATAGTACCATTCCTCGCGTATAAGTTACCTGATGATATAGTATCATGCCACGTGTATAAGGTACCTGATGATATAGTACTATTCCACATGTATAATTTACCTGATGATATAGTACTCAAAGCACTACTAAAAAGCGCTGCCATGTAGAGACCTGAGACTCCAGGTAAGGTGCTCATCGCAGACAGAACGAAATAGGGCGGTAGCTGGTTTCTGTTAGAGATGAGCCCGGCCTATGAAAATGAGGAAATGGAATTATAAAGTGTTTATCCCCCTCAATTTTACATATCAATTTTTACAATTTTATTTTAATTTTTCCAAGACTTTTACAACATAAAGCATTTAAGGCTGCCAGTTTGTCAAGACGTTTCAACGTAAAGCATTTATTTATGGCTGCCAGTTTGTGAAGACTTTTCAGCATAAACCATTTAAGGCTGTCAGTTTTCCAAGACTTTTCAAAATAAAGCATTCATGGCTGTCAGATTTCAAGACTTTTTAAATATAAATCAAGTATGGTCATGGCCATGGCCTTCTATTTATAGCGAAATTCCGATCTTTAGTCTCGTAAATATTTCAATCGTTTTTATCATATCTTTTTATACATATAATTTTTTTTTAAATTCTCGTGTCTGACCATCAGTTCAGAAATAAGGAAATATTTAATTTACTTAACAGTTTACAAATTAAACACATTTTTTAATTACTGGTATATAATAAAATAAGAAGTTTTAAAAGAGATGTCTTTTATTCAAAAGATTGCATTGCTTTACACGGTGGCGTATTCAAAAGATTGCATTGCTTTACACGGTGGCGTATTCAAAAGATTGCATTGCTTTACACGGTGGCGTATTCAAAAGATTGCATTGCTTTACACAGTGGCGTAGGAAGGGGGTGAGCGGAGGGTACGGTCCGCCCCCGGGGGAGGCGGGGGCCACATTGTTTCTTTATATTCAAGGGGGGTGGCAAGATTACCGGCCCACTTCGGGTGGCACCCAACCCTAGCTACGCCACTGGTCTTACGTCATTATTAACGCGTGAAAGCGTACACTAACCACGTGACAAGCGGACGCAACTCAACACAAGTGTTACATGGATGAAAGTCAACACTCCCTCCACCACTTGAGCCACCGTGATCGTTCTTACCGTAAATGGGTCACATCTAGTGAAGTGACCGTACGCATAGATGACAATCCCGAACCACAACACCATGACGCCATACACGACGATGAGAACACTGTTGATCACCAGGCACAGTTTGAATCTACTCACCAATACATGGTTCCTTCAATCATAGCATGGTCATTGGTAGAATCTACTCACCAATACATGGTTCCTCCAATCAATGTTCCCCACCAGCTGTGCCTCGTCCTGGGATCAGGGTTGATCTCATCAAAAGACACCCTCCCCCCTTCCTCAGCGATATGCCAAGCTGAAGCTCCACCTCCAACAATTAAACAACCTGACGGAGAGGGGGTGGGTTGGAGGCAAAATAGAATGTATTATTTGCACAACGACAGACATATCAGCTTGATCTTTACAGACATCATTCGTGTGTCTCCGGTTGTACATTACTTGTACACATATAATCTTTAGAGACTTCATTGAAGTTCGAAATAACAAGGACTGGCTCACCTTTAATAATGATGACGAGAAGAGCGATAAAGATGACCAAACATTGAAAAGCATCCGTCCACACGACACTCTTCATGCCCCCAATGGTCGTGTATAGTGTACCAATCGTTCCTATAGCAACCAGCGACACCCACAGATCTATACCAGTACCAACCTGGAATACAAATACATTTTCCGTGAATTTATATTGAAATAAGAGGATTCGGTGGAGATACTTTACCATAAATTACCAATTGGTAAATGCTTTTAGGAAACCATTTAGGAAAACAAGGGTAGACAGACAATTAGGCAGACATAACATAAGTTAATGTTTGGTTTAAAGGAAGAACATTTTCAGTTTTAAAAGTCAATATCTAAGTTAACTGATGAGAGATTGTAAACAGATGTGTATTTTACCAGGTCTTTGTTTAGCGTTGTTACATTTAGTGTATGCCTTACAACCATAATCAACAATCAAGTTACTGCTATGGTGTGCTATTCATGAACCGTATGGGGCCAAAATTACCATAGAATCACGTCAGTCAGTCAGCCAGCAAGCAAGCCAGTCAGTCAGCCAGTCAGTTAGTAATTTAGCCACTCCTTCAGTCAGTGGGAAGGTCAAATGTTATTGAGTTATCAAGATTGCTATTTAAATTATTTTAAAAACTTAAGATTTGATTAAATTATTGTTAAAACTTAAGATTTGATTAAATTATTGTTAAAACTTAAGATTTGATTAAATTATTGCTGCTATAATACGTTTGAGATCTTTCTAATCTCTCTCTGATGACATATGTTGTTGCACTACTCTTAAGTCCCATATAAAGCCTAACAAATAATTGAACATGTATCTTACAATATAAATCGCTTAGTTCATTGCACGGTAAGACTATACCAAATGTATCATGGACAATAAGAAGCACAGCCCCGCTCTTATATTCAGTATTATCGCCATGATAATATTTAAATGACGGTATGGTGTCAAAGATATACGTAGGACACACCGTGTCAAAGATATACGTAGGACACACCGTGTCAAAGATATACGTAGGACACACCGTGTCAAAGATATACGTAGGACACACCGTGTCAAAGATATACGTAGGACACACCATGTCAAAGAAATACGTAGGACACACCGTATCAAAGAAATACGTAGGACACACCGTATCAAACAGATACGTAGGACACACCGTGTCAAAGAAATACGTAGGACACACCGTGTCAAAGAAATACGTAGGTCACACCGCGACATAGAGATATATACGACACGCCATGTCAAAGCGATATGAAGGACACACCTTGTCAAAGACATATGTAGGAGACATCGTGTCAAGGAGTTATGTAGATCACATGGTATCAAAGAGATATGGAGGACACACTGTGCCAAAGAGTTTATTTTTAAATTTTTTACATTAACTTCGCTTTTGTTCGTGGCTTACAAAATCTTCGGACGACTAATTGACCCCTTCCCGTCAAATTATCGAGCTGAAACTTGGCACATAGACTATTTGCCAATTGCAACTTTTTTTTACTTCAAATTTTCAACCCCAACCCCATTTCCATCCTCAAAAATCAGTTGGCTCGGGGGGGGGGGGGTGAAGTAATTTTGATGACACAAATTTCACGAACTAAAATCCCCGTTAACTATGCTAAATAAGTTTCTTTTTAAAAATATCAAAAGTGCCATTGTGTGTGTATTATTTCTCTTTGTTTTTTTTTTGCAACTTTTTTTAACTTCAAATTTTCAACCCCAGCCCCATTTCCATCCTCAAAGATCGGTTGGCGCGGGGGGGGGGGGTGAAGTAATTATGATGACACAAATTTCACGAACTAAAATCCCCGATAACTATGCTAAATAAGTTTCTTTTTAAAAATATCGAAAGTGCCATTGGGTGTGTAATATTATCCTTTGTTTTTTTTGCTGAAGCGGGGAAATAAATCAGCGGCGTAAATGCGGGTGGTTCATTAGAAGATTATTCAGAGGCGTGATTCAAGTGTGCGGTTGCGAGTTTTTTGTTGTTGTTGTTTGTTTGTTTGTTTTTGTTTTGTTTTTTTGCGAGGGAGCACTGATTGGGATTCTTATAAAGTGCGTTAAGGGCACTCACAAATTAATTGTATCATACAATGCACAAACTAAGTGTTGGAGTTACATGGAGCCCTAAAGCTGGCGGGGTATGGCCATTTACCTGGAGCCCTAAAGCTGGTGTGAGGAGAGCTATAGACATGTAGCAGATGGTGGTCAACATGCCAACGGTCACACTGAAGACCCGGACTGTGGTGGAGTTGAACCGCTTCTGAAGATATTCGTAGATGCTTGTGACACGGAGGGGGTGCATCAGGGGAACCATCGTGAAGGCCCCAATCATAAAGGCGATGCCGAATCCCACGTGTATAATGATAAACATGCTTCCATAGGTGTAGATATCAGTGGGGGAGCCCATCAGGGAAATAGCAGACTGGAGAAAAAAAATTGACCATGCCTCGTTAAATGGACAGGTTATTTTAATTATTTATATTTAATCATTAGTCTTCAATAGGTGGCTCAAAAGCTCGTGTGTCGAGGAATGGTCACTATTGTGTCGTGAAATGTTCACTATTGTGTCCTGAAATTTCACTATTATGTCCTGAAATGTTCACTATTGTGTCCTGAAATGTTCACTATTGTGTCCTGAAATGTTCACTATTGTGTGGAGGAATGTTCACTATTGTGTCCTGAAATGTTCACTATTGTGTTCTGAAATGTTCACTATTGTGTGGAGGAATGTTCACTATTGTGTCGTGAAATTTTTACTATTGTGTCCTGAAATGTTCACTATTGTGTCCTGAAATGTTCACTATTGTGTCCTGAAATGTTCACTATTGTGTCCTGAAATGTTCATTATTGTGTCCTGAAATGTTCACTATTGTGTCCTGAAATGTTCACTATTGTGTCCTGAAATGTTCACTATTGTGTCCTGAAATGTTCACTATTGTGTCCTGAAATGTTCTTTATTGTTTCCTGAAATGTTCACTATTGTGTCCTGAAATGTTCACTATTGTGTCGAGGAATGTTCACTATTGTGTCCTGAAATGTTCACTATTGTGTCGTGAATTGTTCACTATTGTGTCGAGAAATGTTCACTATTGTGTCGAGAAATATTCACTATTGTGTCAAGAAAAGTTCACTGTTGTGTCGCATGGTTTTGATTCAATAGGGAAAAAATCGAATCAAAAATGTGTTCGGGCATTTAACCAAATAAAGACAGATAAAATAATCAATTTTTATATGATCACGTGGTCATTTCGCTTGGACGATACTCTCGACGAAGCTGTAAAATTACATTTTTTACCTGAAAGTTGTTGGTCTGAATTGAAGTCATTTGGTTTGAGTTATTTCGTGTTTGTGGGAGTGTGTTCCATCTTGTTATTTTTTGTTCTACTGCATGTTTATTTCAAACATGTTATTATTGTCATAGTTACCAGAGCCTATTAAACATTTCAAAGTCAATATAAGCCGACCAGAGCGTGTGCCCCTTGAAGGATAACCAGATGAAATAATAATTGTATTAAAGTTTTTTTTTAAGTCAGTGTTTCAAAGTGCGCACCTAACATTACAAATGTAGATTTCGAACATCGCTTTTTTAAAATAATTTTTCGGGGTTTAATTGAAGCCAGTGTTTCAAAGTGCGCACCTAACATTACAACTGAAGATTTCAAACATCGCTTTTTTAATACTTCGGGGTTTTATTGTGATAACTTATTATTGTTCAAACCACAGTGCCATGTTAATGATTGGACATCTTGTCGCGTCATGAAATAATTCATTATGGAACTACACACACGTGCTGATACGTCCTAGCGAGGAGATGTCTAAAGTTGTTGATTACCACTTAGGTGGCGAAGAGTGACAAGGTAACAGGGAACAGTGAGATGTCTAAAGCTGTTAGATTTACCACGTAGGTGGCGAAGAGTGACAAGGTAACGGGGAACAGTGACATCCTCCTCTCCCCCAGCAGGTACACGTCTCTGGTGGCCTTGTTGGCGTCTCTGACGGCGAACAACACACCTATCCCCAGGGGTACAAGCAGGGTCACAGCTATGACGACGTAGTCCTCCACCTGGAGGGAGACACTTGAGTCCATGGCTCGCCTTACGTCTGTAGACCTAAATAGGATTGTGGAAACAACACGTCAAACATCAGGCGCTGTGTGTTCAAATATATATATTATATATTAACGTTTCTATAATGCTACATGATTCAAAGACGATCTAATAGGAACGCGCTGTTTGACTTCACCTGGCCTATTGAAATAACCCAGACACATTCTAGCGTTTGCTTTCACACTGTCTGTGTATGTGTGTGTGTGTATGTATGGTGTTTGTGTGTGTATGGCATCTGGAACCTTCCAAATTTGGATCTGGTATATATATATATATATATATATATAACGTTGATTGACAGGAGGAGGCAACTCGCTGACATAATCAGTTTTAATGACATCTGCTTGTTACTACGACACAAGTATAAATTCTCCTCATAATCTCCACATACCACTACGACACAAGTTTAAATTCTCCTCATAATCTCCACATACCACTACGACATAAGTATATCTTCTCCTTATAATCACTCTCTTGGCTACAATAATCCAATAACTTTGCATGCATCTTTGACAACGTTTTAAAATATGTTCAAATCTTCTATATAACCAATGTAAACAAACCACGACATCAATTTTCCTGCTACTAAACTAGCAAAAGATAAAATAATACAATGCCTTACCCGAAGAAGGTCCAACTGACCAAAGGAACAGGCAAGATGCTCTCTGCGCAGAACTCAAGTATGTGTTGATGAAACCAACCTGCAGTACCTTATTATTGGGCTACATGGCACTGCTCCATAAAGCGAGTCTGAATATCCGATAACGCCGCACCTGAAATAAGCTGATGGTGGGGCGAGTGGACGCATACAAAATGAGGTGAACACCAAATGAACAACACCGGTGGCCCGTCTAACATTACGCACAGTAATGCATCAACATCCTAGCTCTCCTGTAAATGCAGATAACAAGAGATCCTTCTCATATATCCTGTTTTCATTACAATGTGCATTGAAATTGTCCTGAAGTTTGGTGACCTTAGCTTATTTTTAGAATCCGGCTGCTACTAACGTTGACAATGTTCTGGCCTGGTCATAAAAAGAGAGAGAGAGTAAGAGAGATAAAGATAGAGTAGGAGAGATAAAGACAGACAGACAGACAGACAGGCAGACAGACAGACAGAGAGACAGACAGACAGACAGAGAGAGAGAGAGAGAGAGAGAGACAGACAGACAGACAGACAGACAGACAGACAGACAGACAGACAGACAGACAGACAGACAGACAGACAGATAGGTAGGTAGATAGATAGATAGATAGATAGATAGATAGATAGATAGATAGATAGATAGATAGATAGATAGATAGATAGATAGATAGATAGATAGATAGATAGATAGATAGATAGATAGATAGA